TAACGCTCCGTAGGAGGTGTTGTTTCAAACTCTCTCGCAACTAACATGAAACTTGAAAAGTATATAAGGAGGCAGCATTCTCACGAATATTTGTGGAATTTTATTTTGCCATAATAATGGACAAAAACTGAATTTTTTTTTAATCTTCAATTTCATTGAATTTCAAAACATAAATCGACTTTTCTCAAACAAATCTTCATGAAATTAATTAAAAATTGATAAACTTACGTATCAGGGTCTACTGAAGACGATAAAATGATTAAAACATTTTTAAAAATTAATTGTAAAATTATTTGTTAATGTAAATAAAGACCTGTCGGTAAATACGTTTTCTTAACTTTGAAGAGAAAAAGTATGCGGTGAACTTTCGAGTTGACAAAACTTCTAGTGAGACATTTGTTTATTAACATGTCAAGAAGTTTTTTGGAAATTTTTATTTAAATCGAATGAAAAATAAACAAGATACATAATGTTTAAAAAAATATGCGTCGCGCGGCGTTTTGACATTTTGACGCGAAACCATTGCCATACTGATTTTGCAGCCCACAGAAACGGTCTTGAAGGCCATGCAAAAACAAATAAGCACATTGACAATTTAAAACAGAATAAAATTTTTCAAAGTACGCCCAAAATTTCAACTTATGTCCAAGGTATTGACGTCAGAAGAAAAATAGCGGAATTAAAAATAGCTGCTTTCATAGCCGAACACTGCAGTATAAAGACTGTTGACCATTTGGATGAATTAGTTCAGAATTTAGATAAAAATTCTGAAGTACTTTCAAAAATTCAAATTCATCGCACGAAATGTACTGCATTAATTTTAAATGTTCTGTCGCCATGCCTTTTAGAAGAATTATTCGAGGACGTAGGGGATTCCTACTATTCCCTAATAATTGATGAAACTACTACTGTCGATATGAAAAAAGTAATGTGTATAATGATTAGATATTTTACCTTAAGTCGTCGTAAAGTCCATACTACATTTTACAGATTGTTAGAATTAGAAGAAGGAACAGCCGAACACATGACAAATATTTTAAAAAAGCAGCTTGAAGATGACCATTTGAAATTAGAAAATCTTATAGGGATTGGTATCGATGGGGCAAATGCTATGATTGGAAAGCATAATTCTCTTTCGTCAAGATTAAAGAACATAATTCCTCATCTTGTAGTAATTAAATGTCTTCCGCATTCTTTGCATCTTAGTGCAGAACATGCTTGCGATGTTCTTCCAAAAAACTTGGACTTTCTTATTAAAGATAGCCAGTCTTGGTTTTCTAAAAGCACTAAAAGGAATATAAATTACACAGAATTGCACCAAGTAATAGCTGATTCTAATCCTAAAAAGATTCCTAAATTATCAGGAACTCGTTGGTTGGCTCGATTGGATACAATCAATGTAATTTTGGATCAATGGGATGCTTTACAGCTTCATTTTAACACATCGCGATGTTCGGAACGCGGAGTAGCGGGTTATAAAGCTGACCTCTTATATCACATGTACATATGTGTGGAGAATAAATTATACCTCATCTTTTTGCGTCAAGCATTAAAAGAAGTTATTTCTTTGAATAGATTATTTCAATCTGATTCAGTGGAACCATTGAAACTATTTCAAGATTTAAATAATCTTTTGTTCTCTATATTGCAGTCAATCGTTATCCCACAACATTTAGAAAAAGCTTCTAGAGCAGATTTATGTTCATTTAACTTTAAAAATCATTTAATGCCAACTGATTGTATTAATTTTGGTTTTTATTTCAATCAACTTAGTCCTCAGTGCAATCCAGAAAATTTAAAAGTTATAAAACAAAGATGCAAGGAATTTTTAGTGAAATTGGCAGAGGAATTGCAATTGCGAATACCAGATAACGTCCGAGTTTTGGAAAAAATGTGCGTCTTCGCTCCCGATGTTGCATCTAGTCAAAATAAAGAAGACATTACGGAGATCGCTGTTTTTTTCAAGCTATTTGTTCAGATGTTGACGAAACTGTCAAAGAATGGAACTTGTTACATCGTCTAGAAATAGAAAAATGTTCATCAAATGAATATTGGACTAACCCAGATAACAAAATGCGCGTTGTGTGCTACTAATATCATCTGCACGCGTGCCGATTTATCCGCACTATGCGCGTTCACTGGACCACTCAGATGCGTCATCATATGCGATCCATAACTGTCGCATATTGTGATGGGCACATGCGTGACGGTATAATGCGAATAAATTATATTTATACTTCAGCCTTATTTGAATTAAATAAAAAGAAAAGATTATTGACATTAGTAATTTTTTTTAAATTAAAATGTTATTTATAAAAACGATTTTAATTTAATATTTCAGTACAATTTTGGAATTGAAGTTGTTAAAAACTTCCAAATTCTTTTTTTGAGGTTATATCTAATACAACAAAAATATATATGTACTTTAAACAAATTAAATTTAACTTTCTTATTTTGCTGCAGTACTAAAAATTAAATCCACAATAATTCCTCACAATAATATCGCAATAAAAAACAATAAAAAATGAAATCACAATAAAAACTTATTTTGATAACACACCACAAACAATGCTGTCGCCATTATAAAATGTGTGATTGCCGATACGGGTGGTTGCGCATCATTAATTGCGTGCGTATTAAGTGCAGTTCACTGCACACGCATTCACAGCATTCGCACTGTGGATGGTAAAATGCGTATGGATTGACTCTTCTAGCAAGTCGCACTTGTGAACGGAACATGCTTATCATTTTGTATCACAGGCGCTTACGAAATGCAGTTCACAACACTCGCATTATTACCAGCGTCGCAGACGATAGTAAGATGCGTATATGAACCGACTCATCTGGTAAGTCGCAGTTAGTGCAAGAAACATGCGTTTAAATGCGACGCACGATTGTTATCTGGGAAGGTTAGCGAAGATAAAAATGCTGGAGGAATGTGTAGGTTCAAACATATCTCAGCATTGGCGCGTGCGCTCTTAAGTCTTCCATTTTCTAATGCTTCAGTCGAGAGAGCTTTCTCAATTGTTAATATAATAAAAAATAAATTGAGAAATAAGATGAGCATCAAAACCGCGGATGCAATAATGAGAGTTCGTTTCTTGTTGCCAAATACGTGTGCAAATTTCGAGCCTACGGCAAGAATGCTTATCAAATTTACAAGTGAACAAATGTATCAGAGTGAGTTTGAAGGAGAAATTCTCAATGCTTTTCCAGAAATTTGATTTAAAAAAACTATATCTATATATATGTTCGTTATGAATTTTAGTTTAAGGTGCTAAATAATATCTTTAATGTAATGTTATTAATTTAAAGAGAAATTAAAAGATATAACTAGAAAAACCAAAGTTATATGTAAATTTTTATGTATGTATTTAAATAAAAAATGAAAAGGTAGAATGATACCTAAACTAAAAATTTAATGCGAATTTTACATCAAGATATTATAAATTTAAAACCCAACACTATTCTTTTCAACTAGATCCAATAAATTTATTAACAATTTTATTAACTGTTAAAATAAAAAAAATGTTTTTTCTCTATTTTGAAATACAAAATTTTTTTTTCTTTTAAAAATTAATTTTACCACATTTTTAAAATTTGGTGAGAAATTTATCTTTCTAGTGAGAAATTCCGATAGATCTAGTGGTAATGTGACTTGGTCATCTGGCAACACTGCATTTAATGCACCAATGGTAGACTAATGGCTATTTCCCATTGGGTGGGTAGGTTATATTCCGTGCTGCTTGGGATAAGATTTTTAAACTCTTTTGGTCTTAAATTATAGAAGAGACTTAAATGATCACACTTATGTAAGTTTCAAATTTATTCTACAATTTTTAAAAAATGTGCAAGGGTTGAAAAAATTTCCAAACAAATTTTATTTTTAAACTTTTTTTTGTCAAATTTGTCGATTGCTGCAATCTTTGTATAAATTATTAAAATTTTCAGTTATGTATCATTAATCATAGAATTTAATAATCTTTCGAATGGTATATTTGTTAATTTTCTGACATTTGTATTTATAAAAAAATCGGGATTTAAAGGTTGGTATATTTTTGGGCCATGCGTGTTCAGCCGTACCGATAATTCCCGACGGTAGTGTAATAATCGTCTTTTTTAAAAGTTATGTTGATTTAAAGAAGGAAAAAATTTTTTTTTAACTTTAAAATTAAATAAACAATAAAAACAAATTTTTTTTAAAAAACAAAAGCAGTGGAGTTGTGCAGAATTTTATCATCTTTAAAACAAGAACAAGAACATCAAAATTGGATTAAATTTGTGGGCTCTATGTTAATTTGTCCACTGCCGTGTTTTTCGTCCCACCATGCATGGTGAGCATGGTTGTTTTATTATACTAGCTCATGGCCAAATGAGTGAAAAACTAATTTCAAAAATTTTTTTGAATTTTTTCTGGGCAAATGTTTTGAAAACATTAAAATTATTATTTTAAATGGTTGTAAACCTTCTGTTAATCCTGTAAATATGAAAAAGATTCATAAAAATTTGTCAAAAATATCGTGTTTAAAAACAAATATAACCTAAAAATTAAAAGCACCGTAACTCTAACAATTTTGAAAATTTTTGAAAACCCTTTGACCCACAAACACATCTTTCCTAACACTAAAGATATGCCCATTTTCAAAAAAATCAAAAGACCCCCAACCAACATTGACATTTCAAACCCTTTCTACATTATTTGACCTAATGTGCTAAAAATTGACATACTAGTGTATTTTTACAGTCTGATCACAAAAAATATATTTAAGAAAATTTTTTAAAAAAAATTTCTTTAAATTTTTTAGTTAGTTTTGTTAGTTAGTTTTTTAGTGCAACTCGCACTTTCCCAGTTTTTTTGTACTTTTGAATCGACTAAACCGACTTTTTTGCGACTTAAAATTTGTCCGAGGTCTGTTTATTAGGTAATATATTTAATATTACCAAAGACGTAGTTGAACTAAGTTTAAAACTAAAAAATAATTTAAGTAACTATTTTACAGGACTGATTATATGCCCTTCTCGTGAGTTGGCGAAACAAACTTTCGATATCATTCAACATTATACACAAAGTTTGAGACAAGCAAATTGTCCTGAAATTCGTTCGTGTCTCGCTATCGGCGGAGTTCCTGTTTCCGAATCTTTAGAAGTCATTAACAAGTAAGTTATATTTCTAGAATTTTGCAATTGCATTCATTCTCTTTACATTGTTCTTCAATTTTAATCAATGATTTTTGCATTTTAATTTCTTTTCATTGCTTTTCACTTTCAATTATTTCAATTTTCTTCCTATTTTTGTCTTAGAATTTTTCTTTTCTAGTTTAAAAAAGTTTTACTAATTGTAATAAAACATTTATTTAAAAAAATAGAGGCGTTCACATAATGGTCGCAACACCAGGTCGCTTGATGGATATGTTGGATAAGAAAATGGTTAAACTAAGTGTTTGTCGATATCTTTGCATGGATGAAGCTGATCGTATGATTGACATGGGATTCGAAGAGGATGTGCGAACTATTTTCTCTTTCTTTCGGGTATGTATTTTATTTATTGGAATAAGTAAAAAAATAAAATTAAAAATTGTTGAATTGAAAACAATTGATTAAAGACAGTAATTATACAATTATACTTTTTAACCCTTTAACACCCAAGCAAAACAGACAAAACGTATAAACCAATGCGACACCATTTCTAGGGTTTTCTGGGTCGCTGATTACGAATTTGATGTCAAATTAACAATTTAACAGTTGGCAGCTGTGAAACCAACCATAGAGTTATTAGAATAGAGTGCGCAAGCGATCAAAATGTTTCTTAGGCGCATAGACGGAGATAGCCATACGAAAAGTAGAGACGCATGCATATCCCCTAATCGCCAAGTCGTCGAATGATCAAATAGTCGAATGCCAAGTAATCGAATGGACAAAACGTCGAATGCTAAAAACATCGAATCGGCATTTAGTCGAATGCTAAAAACATCGAATTGTCAATACGTCGAATGTTCAAAACGTCGAATTATGAATTCGTCGAATGCTGAAAATATCGAATCTTCAGTTAATCGAATGCTAAAAACATCGAATTATCAATTCGTCGAATGTTAAAAACATCGAATTGTCAAAACGTCGAATGATAAAAACGTCGAATGCTAAAAACATCGAATCGTCATGTAGTCGAATGCTAAAAATATCGAATCTTTAGTTAATCGAATGCTAAAATCATCGAATTCTCCATTCGTCGAATGTTCAAAACGTCGAATGTTTAAAACGTCGAATGCTTAAAACGTCGAATGCTAAAAACGTCGAATGTTCAAAACGTCGTATGCTCAAAACGCCCAGTAAGAAAGTAAAGATTAAGAAGCATTAAAAAAATTCTATCCTTTTGAATTCCATTTCTGTCCTATGCTTCTGAATTCCGCGACAGTAGTTGAAAAGTTTACAATATTTCAATCCTTTCAAATGCTCATACAAATATAATATAATAATATAATACTAATATTGTTGACTTTGCATAGAATGTTCAATTACTTTCAAATAACTGCACTCATGACTTTATTTGCTATTTTAAAAAGAAATAATTATTAAATTATCAGTTAAGAGGGTTATAAGTGTTTAAAGGTCTCTGAAATTTTTAGGTTATGATTTATTGTCTAACAGAATAACGGCCCTGACTCGTTTAAATGACGTAAAATTGGTAAACAATTAATTTTTCAGCAAGTTTTTCTTTGAACACAAACATTTTTTACAAAATCTGCCAATGTATATATCTTATAAATTACAAAAATCCAGAAGATTGCTTGAATGCATGCAGAAACGCGCTTCCAATGAAAAATTGAAAAGTGATGTAATGACAGGCTGTAATAATTTCGGATGGGATTGGAAAGCATTCAGAAAAAAACTTTGTCTTTGTTAACAATTACAAACAGAATTGAATAGCATTCATTTTTAGACGAAACGTGGTCCTATCATGGTATAGAAAAGTATTGGACAGAAATGGCATTCAAAAGTATTGGATAATTTCTACTACACCATACAGAGTTTGAATTATTTCAATCCTTTTTAATTCCTCGCTTCTTACTGGGCGTCGAATCGTCATTTAGTCGATTGTTAAAACCATCGAATAGTCCATTCGTCGAATGCTTAAATAGTCGAAACGCCATCTCTTCGAATTATCAAGTAGTAGAATGGGAAAGTTGTCGAATGTTCAAAACGTCGAATCGTCATCTGTTCGAATTGCCAAGTAGTAGAATGGTAAAGTAGTCGAATGGACAAAAAGTCGAAACGCCATCTGTTCGAATTATCAAGTAGTAGAATGGTAAAGTTGTCGAATGTTCAAAACATCGAATCGTCATTTAGTCGAATGCTAAAAACATCGAATCTTCATTTAATCGAATGCTAAAAACATCGAATTCTCAATTCATCGAATGTTTAAAACGTCGAATGATAAAAACGTCGAATGCTAAAAACATCCAATCGTCAACATGTCGAATGTTCAAAACGTCGAATTATCAATTTGTCGAATGCTCAAAACATCGAATTGTTAATTCATCGAATGCTTAAATCATCGAATTGTTAATTCATCGAATGCTTAAATCATCGAATTTTCCATTCGTCGAATGTTAAAAACGTCGAATGATCAAAACGTCGAATGCTAAAAACATCGAATTCTCAAATCGTCGAATGCTCAAATAGTTGAAACGCCATCTGTTCGAAATGTCAAGTAGTAGAATGGTAAAGTAGTCGAAACGCCATCTGTTCGAATTGCCAATTAGTAGAATGGTAAAGTAGTCGAATGTTCAAAACGTCGAATGAGAAAAACGTCGAATGCTCAGAACATCGAACTGTTAATTCGTCGAATGCTCAAAACGTCGAATGATAAAAACGTCGAATGCTAAAAACATCGAATCGTCAAAAGTTCGAAAAAGTTCTTTGTCTTCAGTAGACATTAACTTAAAACAAAGAACTTTTTCGAACTTTTGACGATTCGATGTTTTTAGCATTCGACGTTTTTATCATTCGACGTTTTGAGCATTCGACGAATTAACAGTTCGATGTTCTGAGCATTCGACGTTTTTATCATTCGACGTTTTGAACATTCGATGTTTTTAGCATTCGACGTTTTGATCATTCGACGTTTTGAACATTCGACGAATGGAAAATTCGATGATTTAAGCATTCGATGAATTAACAATTCGATGTTTTGAGCATTCGATAAATTGATAATTCGACGTTTTGAACATTCGACGAATCAGTAGCGTAACAAGAGAGGCCGGGGCCCTGGGGCGAGTAAAGCCTCGGGGCCCACTAGTAGAAATGAAATTTGATTAACAGTGGGAAATACCTACCAAATACCTTACAGCAGTAATAAAATTACTCCTGATTCTCTTTCAAAACATTTATTAAGTTTTTCTAGTCGTAAGAAGTATTTATGGAAGAATGTTGAGACTAGATAACAAGCTTAAAGTACATTTACTCAAAGTCATAAATAAAAATTTTAGTATAATTTATTATAACAATTTGACAATAGAATGATTACAATATATATTAAAGATAAAATTTTATCTTTAGAATTTATTTAAACAAGATTTTTAGTTTCAAATATGTTCATATTAAATATCAATAATAATTTATTAATTTAATAAAATGAAAAACAATAATAAATATAATAAATAAATAAAATAATTTAAAAAATTAATAATAATCTAAGTTTTATAATTAAATCGTCTTAATCGCGGGGCCCCGGGATTACGCCCGGTTTGCCCTATGGTAGTTCCGCCACTGCGACGAATTGAGAATTCGATGTTTTTAGCATTCGACTAAATGACGATTCGATGTTTTGAACATTCGACAACTTTACCATTCTACTACTTGATAATTCGAACAGATAGCGTTTCGACTTTTTGTCCATTCGACTACTTGGCAATTCGAACAGATGACAATTCGACGTTTTGAACATTCGACAACTTTCCCATTCTACTACTTGATAATTCGAAGAGATGGCGTTTCGACTATTTAAGCATTCGACGAATGGACTATTCGATGGTTTTACCATTCGACTAAATGACGATTCGACGTTTTGAGCATACGACGTTTTGAACATTCGACGTTTTTAGCATTCGACGTTTTAAACATTCGACGAATGGAGAATTCGATGTTTTTGGCATTCGATTAACTGAAGATTTGATATTTTTAGCATTCGACTACATGACGATTCGATGTTTTTAGTATTCGACGTATTGACAATTCGATGTTTTTAGCATTCGACTAAATGCCGATTCGATGTTTTTAGCATTCGACGTTTTGTCTATTCGATTACTTGGCATTCGACTATTTGATCATTCGACGACTTGGCGATTAGGGGATATGCATGCGTCTCGAAAAGTAGACAGTGCCGTCTTTACCATAAGGCCTAGTAGGCCAGTGCCTAGGGCCCCGGCCTCTAGAGGGCCCCTCTGTGTGACCCTAAAGCAATCAAACGTTTAAAAAAGCTGATAACAAAAATAATTAACAACACATTAGGAAAATGCATAAAATATCTTTAATTCTCAAATTTGGTATAAAAGTATTGCAAAATTATATTTAATGAGAATAGATATTTATAATTTCTTTCTTGATTTTTTGGATGCAAAGTCATCACTTATATCTTCGATATTTAAACTATTAAGAATATCCGACTCTATGTATATAACGGAAAGATAATTCAATCTAGAATTTAGCATAGTACTTCTGTGATCATTTTTTATAAATTTCAATGCAGAAAAAGATCTCTCCCCACTACAATTTGTCACCATCATACATAAAAAAATACGTAGACATACTTTAATATTTGGAAACGTAGACATTAAACATTCATTTTTAATTTGCGTATACAGATTTAAAATACTTAATTTTGTATCTTTTCTAAGCTCTTGTAAATAATACTTAAATTGCACACATTCTGATATTAATTCATCTGCAGAAACATCAGAATCATAAACATTAGCTAATCTTTTACAGTTTTCTGCGATTGAATCGTCCTCCATGTCTTGTAATTTTGTGAGAAAACAGAAATTGTTATTTATTTCATCATAAGCTATACGACGTTTTTTAATACTTGAGAGAAGATTGTCTATAATTGGATAAAATATTTCCACCCTTAAACTATCTACTTCATTAAATACTGCTTCTTCACTTGGTCCTTCAAATCTCTTAATTTTAATACTACGTTTTCTTGGTCTTTGGTTTTTTTTAGGAACCTCATCAACTCCTGCTAATTTTTTCGCTTCATCCAAGATTTCATTAAATTTTCCTCGCATAGCCTGTAAATATTTTTCTAAAGAATTTAGTAGGCTTACCACAATACTTAAGTCAACTTCAACTTTCTGTACAGTTAAATTTATTAAATTTACTTGTGTTAAAATACTCTTCCAAACAATCAGAAAAGATATATTATCAAATTTAAGCAATTTGTCGTGAAGACTTAAAGCATCCAGTCGCGCTTCATTTAATAGTGAATCATCTTTAGATAGGGCATCAAGAGACATCAAAATATTGCTGTGTCC